ACTTTTTTCCTTCCACAGGGGTTTAAGTCCACACAGGTAGAAGCTGCAGTGAAACGCAGGCACAGAACAGCTGCAGTTGTCGCCAAACGTATCACAAATGACTTATCAACAGCTGAAATGCATTTTACACTAGAAGTGAGAACATCATAAACCACATAACCAAAACATGGGTTTAAAAGTAAAAATGGCCGCCTGGGATAAACCTTGGCAATACTGCCTGTGCAACCTGGGATATTTTTCCATTTAGAAACTTGGAAGGACCATGAAAACTGCTTTACCTGCTCTCTAGAGAAGTAGATTGCCCCACCCCCTCCATTTCTTGCTGAGGTATGTAAAGGGGCAGTTGTCATCACTTTTCCAAAATAATAGGTGACTGCACTGGAAAGATAGGAGTCCCTCTGGCAGAAGGGAAATGACTCACACCTGAATTGGGAGAAATTTGGGGACACAAAAAGCACAAACTGAGCCCTTCAGGGCCACAAGGCAATGGGAGGAGGAAGGGCTCCCACATCTGAAACAAAGCACAGATTTCATCCTCTTCCTTGCAGCCTGTGGTGAAGAAGAACGGTGGCTGGGTCAGGACCACCGGTGCTGCCATGCCTACGTCCCCCTCTCCTCATCCTCTCCGCAGCTCTGTTCAGGGGATGGACTACACAGCCCTTCTCTGGCTACGGGCACCAATGAGAAGAACATGAGGAGAGGGGATGTATCTCATGGTTTCTGCTCTCCTGCATCAGCACTGAAGCTGTTTCTTGTTTAAACTACAGCATTGTAAAAATTGGATGCCGCTTGCAAAACAGAGCAATGTACAGGAGAGTCCCATTCACACGCACAAGATCCCTTGAGGTAGCAGGGAAGAGCAACTTCTTCATGTTTCGGACACCTGATGTATCTGTAGAAGGCCCAGAGCCAGGGAGATGATCTACACCGAAAGCACTGTAAATTGTCACGTTGCTAAACAGCACCTTGGTTCCAGTTCTGCATTATTCCAAACCTCGATACATACCTTGTCACATACCCTAACACTTACATGTGAGCTGTCATGGAATAGGATCAAAGAGGAACTCCACACCCATGAAATGCCACGCCAGATGATTTTCCTCCCTTCACCTACAGGAACTTCATCTGAAGAACCTTCTTTATATGCAGGTGTGATGGAAACACAACAGTTCCCACGTACAGCAGGACAGCCATGGCTTGGGCCAGCTGACAGTACAGATGGGCCAACGTGAGCTTTTAGTGTTTTCAATCAAAACATGTACCTGCTATCACAGGAGGCTGGCCCCTCGCTTCACACCTTTTGCTACTGTCTTTACTGCTATTGTTATCAATGCTAATTAAAGCTGGCCCTGGGTTTGCCTATACATGTTGCAGTTGTTTTACTGTGTAGGCAAGCCCTGAGGACCCAAACCTGTCAGAAATCTGAATAAAGTCCTCTTGGAAGCAAGCAGGAAAGCTGGTATGACCATTTCAGGGCAGGCAGCAGCTCATTCTCATGGAAAGGAAAACTGCCTAGAAAAGAAGGCAGTGAATTCCACACGGCTGCAGATGTTCAGGCCAATTGTCGATAGAGCTCTGAGCAGAAAAACAAACTGAAGGACTCCCAGAAATTTGGATAATGCCATTACACGAATTTACAAAGTGAACTTTACGTTAAATATCCACGCACACAGAGCTTTGCCTGCCAGACGCACACTGTGTGTGTGTACTTGCATAAATTTTCTGACTTGCTTACATCCACTTTTATAGTATCTTGGACCATATTCTTTGACCCAGATTGTTAGAACTCAGCTCTAAACCACTTGAATTAAGAAATTCTACAGGAAACTTGAGGAGGTTTAGAAGCGTCAAAGAAATATGCAGACGCAGATTTTATTAAAGCTACTTAGCTAGAAAGAATTGCCAGAAAGTGTCTTTGTGCTAACGTCAGCTAGTTTTTCTAAATTAATTTTGAAACAATCCGTCATCCATCCTCCTCACCTCCTTCCAATTTACTGCAGTCATTGTAAACACTGCTGGGAGACAGCACAAGCAGATGATGGAACAGTTTCCTTTTAAGAAAGAACACAGGGTAACTTCGTACCTCTATAAACTTCACCATATTTGGTGAATATTTGGTAAAGGTTTGCATTCTGTGACTGCTACAGAACAGTAGTGGTCAGTTCCAGATATCTTGAAGAGCGAGGAAAATTAACCCACCACCCAAAAATACATATAAAGCAAGTAGCTCGCAGTATAGGGTAATCTCAGTTTTTAATTTCTAAAAAAAAAATTAAGCTTCAGAAGCAGTCAGGTAAGGACGATGTTTTAATGCTCCAGTTGTGCCGAAGTATTTGACATCTTATCTTGCCTCCAAATATGACCAAAAGAGGGCTTTTGTTTGATATGAAAGAAGATGGCACACAGAGCACCAAAGAGATAAGAGCCTTGTACCAATCTCAACTTGTCACAGTTTGAACTTGTAAAAGTTACGCAGGCACCACTCCAAAATTAAGAGTGTTAAAATGAACAGCTGGTGGTAGCCAATGGGAGATTAGACTTTTTCCTTGTTAAATACAAAAAAGCATCACAGGACTACTTTAGGCTAATGAAGGGCGAACTCAAACATCACCACCAAAGCAAATTCTTCTAAAAAGGGCAGGACAAATCACTTCTGGTACAAACGTGGAGGGTGCAGGGCAAGCTCCTTTTACCAGATGAGTTGTGCTTGTAAATGCAGACAAATCTCCCAGCTTACGCAGTGCAAACCTCAAAAATTTCAGCCAGTTAAACAAGACTCCCCAACCAGAAATATTAAATCCTGAGACACAACCATTTACAAGACACATTTTCCTGGTGAAGAACGAGGTGCAGTACCACAAGATGGTGGTGACTAACAAGTCACGTCTGTACACGCAGCGTTTTAAGAATTCAATTTTCCCTGCTCTTCTGGAAACATAAGTATCACAGGCCTGTAATGGCAGAAAACTGTGCAAAGAAGAAGTTCAGAGAGTTAAGAGAACCTCAAAAGAGACCAAAGAAAATGAGGACAAATTTCAAGATATCCATAATTCTGGAGACTACTTTTAACATAAAAAAAATACACAGACCAGAAGTCTGTTTAGCTGTTTTATAAAGGCCACAGCAGCACTGCTTGGTTGGGATTTGCTACTTGTTTTCGTAAGCAGATGAAGAGGCCAATACAATGTCTTTAGTAACTGGAGCACCAAGGATTGAGAATATGTGTGCACACATGGCTTTTTTTTTTTTTCATGCAAATGGTCAAGTCATGGCCCACCAGGTACAAGTAAAATTCATGTTCATGACAAAATAAAATGTTGTGAGGAATAAAGCCTGTGATCAAAATCTAACACAGCAGACTCTGGAGAAGGTTTTAAACACCTGTTAAACCAAGCAAAGAACTTTCTCAAGCTGAAACATCTTTTCATGTGAAAGGGATTTGCAACTTTAGGGTCAGCACTGGAAAAAAAAAAACCCAAACCCAAACAACCTGCCCCAAAGCCTTTATAACTTGGACTAAGATGTTTCCAAGGATCAAAGCTGTTTTATGTCTCATTCCACCCTTCATTAGAACTTGGTGTGAAAAATTCTGGAACTGATTTAGCTTGAGTCAGTAGCTAAAGGCAACTCAAAGCTTTCCAGAACAGAGTTTCCTCAGCAGCAGCATGAACTACACACCCAGGTTTGAACAGGAGTGCAATTAATCTGGTATTTGCCAGGGGAAAGCATGCAGCAGGCACAGGAGAAAAACCTTAGGAGGGGAGGTCCTGCTCACTCTTTACCACTTGGGTCTTAGAGTCCTGGAACACACTGGAAGCATTCACACTATATTCTGTTATTTGAACAGTTTCTTCAAGTTGTATGCTTGCTAATGAGTGCTGAGATTCTTCATTAATTCTGTTTGTTTCAGGGATGGTAATTGTATAAGAATCATGACTGGAAATAAACCAGTGCCAGTTTTCCAGCTCTTCCAATCATGATGACACACACCTGTTGGGAATCAAGACTGAGAAAAATCTAGCCTGCCCTTCATCTTAAGTCTCCACAAAAGGCATTTCTTTGCATAATAAATATTGAGATTAACAGCAGTCAAAAGCAAACTGACAGGCTAATGAATAATAATAATAAAAATATCAAGCTGGCATTTTATTACATTGAGATTTCTTACCGATTGACAGCAGTCATTAAGTGAAGTATAATAGGCTGATGAAGCTTGACAGCTTGCATAGGTATTTTAAAAGGGACTGACAAAGGTGACAGAGATAATTTTAAATGCAGAAATAATTATTCAACTTAAAGTAAGGACAGTACAAAAATAATTAACACATTTACATTCATTTATCCAAGGCCACCTCTTCATGAACAGAGGGGAGCAAAGATGACAGTATATAAGAATAATACAGCTTAAATTCTCACGTCTATTCCAAACAGGAACTAGGAAGTTTATCTAGCTTCTGTTCCCTTAATAAGTTGTTCCAGCCTCAGAAAAGGGAGAGAAACCAACCCCATCGGGCTTTAAGAAATCAAATTCAACACTCTATCATGCTATTACTGGAAAAAAACCCAAGACAACAAACCAAACCGTACACATTTAAAAAAATAAAGCTAACAAACTAACTGTACAGCCTGTGGTCCTGCATACAAGCAGTATGCAGACAAAATTACGGTCTCCGAGGTGAGACTGGCCATAGGCAAGAGTTAGGCCACATATTCAATGTATAAACCTAGGCTCTAGGCTTCTCTTTAAAACAAGATTAGCTAGGCAAATATGAGATAATTGGAGTTTACTATTTTTATCTGTTGCAAGGACCACATGAAAAAGTAAATAAAGACATTTTTGTGACAGAAAAATTAAATACAAAAACCAAGTGAAAGAAAAAAACCAAACAAACAACAACTAGGAATCCCAACATACCTAGTAAGACCAGCCTACTAATTAGCCAACAACCTAGCTGACTGGAGACACTTAGTGATCATCTATTAGAAACAGAATATGCAAAGGCTTAAAAAATTATTTTTATCATACACAATATATTGCAGCAGATATCTATAAACTCCAGCTGTTCATCAGCATGACAAAGGACATCAGATCATAAATCTAACAATTCAAGATACAGATGTATTTTTGAAGGGGTATTTCTGAATCTTTGTAAGCAAATGAACAAGTTTCCATTTTTGTGAGCAAGCTCTGATGAAATGGTGTTAGTATAGTGACGTATCTTCATTTACATATCCTCAAGGCTTCTCTTGATAGCTTCTTCCAGTTCTGCATCTTGCTCTGTACAAATACAAAAAAAGCAATTACAATCTCAAACTATGGCTGGTAACTAGTCATAAACATAACTACATTAATTACATAAAGCAACGAATTACTTCTGTGGGCAATGTCAGTAGACTGAAAAAAACCCTGAGAAACAGAATGAAAGTATCTTCCTTCTGTCTTATGAAATCTTTTCAACACTTCAAAACATATGAACCACCTCTACAACCTTCCACTGCATTAATAAGGGGCAGCCCAATGATTAGTTTAAGAGTGTAACACAACTCCATATTTACTGGTCAAAATAATACCAGGATTAGAGCTCATACATACACACCGAGTAAAGCATTTAAACAAAAAAAGCCCAAACCACCAGACACCCAGACAAGCAGAGAGGTTTCAGTATTTTCATTCCACTTCTTTATCAGTGCATACTCCTGTATCTAACGTGGCACCTCTGTTGTCACTCTGACTAGGAAGGTGAGTCGTAAGCAGAGAAAACGGACTGTCGGCAGGAAGGACAGGCCAGATCAGGGCTGACAGTGGGGGGCAGACTGCGCTGTACTCACCTGAGCTGTTACGTTAACAACCTCTCAAAAACCGTTCAAAAAAGAAACTCTGTTTCTGCATTACAGTTAGGTTGTTTTGGGCGCTAATTGTTTGAATGTTGGTGAATTAGATATCCTAAGTTGGACAAAGTTTGTATGTACAGTAAATATTAATGCCAATGATATATCTGGGAAAATAAAGCAGCTTTCAGACACACTGTCATCCTTGAATTATTCATCTTCTGCTTTAGGAGGACATGAGCACACCCTATAAAAAAAAGCTGTCTGTTCTTATGACAAAAGAAACAGAATAATTACATATATTAACATAACTTATTTTAAAACTTTAATTATTGTTAGACTGGTTTATGCAAGCCTAGATTTGAAAGAGAAATAGTATCAGTGAATACACTCTCTTGTCAGCAGAGCCATATGCATTCACCTGGATGATTCTGTAAAATAGAGTACTCCTGATGAAAGAGATAAGTTAGTTTCTGAAAGGAAAAACATGGCATGGTCACAGAAAGAAAACGTAAATAAATTGGAAGCCAAAAATAAAGCAGAAAGCCATTTATAGACAACTGCTTGCATTAAAATGTGTTATCAATTAGTCACTAAGCATGTGCAAGTATCAAGAGTAAGGTCCCAGCCATGACTCCGTTCCTGATGGCGTGCAGGCAGCTCCACAGTGACACCTGCACTGTCCTCTATGCCAGGGAGCTGCCAAAGCAGCCTTTTCTGATTCCTACACTCACCTTTTGCCTTCTCCTCTTCCCGCAGTTGCTAGTGCTTTTCCTTTTTTATCCCCTTTCAGAGTTGATTTTGCCTCCCCACTCTCTTTCCAACCCCCACAGCACTGCCATGAACCCCGCAGGCAGCCAGTGAGTGTGGCTGAATCCCAGCTGCTTCTAGGGGTCAGACACCTCCAGCACTGCACCACTGGAACTGTGGCACCAAATGCCACCGCAATCCCCCCTCATGGTAGTAATACCCTGTGCTAGGGGGACCTAAGCAAGCTTTCAGCACCGTAGATGAATACATTAGATGTTTAATACCAACTGTTACTAAATATTGTTAAATTTATAACTGAATATATTTGAAGACTAAGACTCAGTTACTAGTCTTATCAGTGACTTGGTACGATTTTTTCTTATTAGTTTTTTATTTCCATCAGGTGGAAGGGCAGAGTCAAGCCTTTAAACAACCAGTTATTTTCAAAGTGCACCATAGTCTGTCACCAAAAAGTAATGACTACATTGTATGAAGATCACCACTAAGCACAACAGCAGCAGGATATTTCAGCAATTTCAAAGAAGGTAAGATATGATGTGACCAGACAGCTGTAGTGCTGATTCAGACTTGTGCATAGGTCTACAGCTCTTTTAGGAGACCAGAGTGCTTTGCATTGTTGAATCATAGAATCATAGAATTTTCAGGGTTGGAAGGGACCTTAAGGATCATCTAGTTCCAACCCCGCCATGGGCAGGGACATCCCCCACTAGATCAGGCTGCTCAGAGCCCCATCCAGCCTGGCCTTAAAAACTTCGAGGGATGGGGCTTCCACCACCTCTCTGGGCAACCTGTGCCAGTGTCTCACCACCCTCATGGGGAAGAACTTCTTCCTAACGCCCAATCTGAACCGATCCATCTCTAGCTTCAATCCATTCCCTCTAGTCCTGTCACTACCCAACATCCTACAAAGCCCCTCACCAGCTTTCTTGTAGCCCCCTTGAGATACTGGAAGGCCACAATAAGGTCTTCCTTGGAGCCTTCTTTTCTGCAGACTGAACAGCCCCAACTCTCTCAGTCTGTCTTCATAGGAGAGGTGCTCCAGCCCTCTCATCATCCTCGTGGCCCTTCTCTGGACACGCTCCAGCACGTCCAGATCTTTCTTGTAGTAGGGATATATCTAATTCTAAACTATTTATTCAGAAGCTCAAGTATTTAGTCAGTAGTTCTACTCAGAGTCAACACAGTCAAACTGGTACAAAGTGAGCTCAGTGAAGCAAGATTTTCAGTCTGCTGGCATACTTTTCAGGTTAGGAAATTATTTTTTATTTATAACTTTCCACAGTGTTCTTAACTACTCAGGACTGCCCAGCATATTTTGGAGAGTACTCCTAAGAGGTCAGTTGCCTTAAAACTGATTCTAAGTTTAGTGTCTGTATCTTCCATAATTAATAGCACTCCTCAACACAGAAAAGTAAAAATTAACAGACCTTCCTGTTTCTTTGTTTCTTCTAAGCTCCTCTTCATTGTTAGTTTGATATCTTCATCCTCTTCACTATCTGAACCTTAAATGCACAAATGAAACATAAATTACATGTTGCTTCTTATAAAAAACTGTACCATATTCCATTTCTCTTACTGTAACAACATTGTAGGTTGAATTTGAAGAAATACACTTGTTACAATCTGAAAGTCAAAGTAAAAATACATCATAGTGCTAGTTCAAGACAGTAACTCAAGAGACAGTTATTTTTCAGCTACCTTCTTGTCTTCCTCCTCAAAATGTAGAGGCAGACTGCTTCAATTTTATATTACTTTAAAGTGGTAACAAGAAATAATAGGTGGAGAAGCTACTCTTAAGTGTCTACTGCATTTGTTTTTTGTAATACTCAGCTATTAAAAGACTTGACACATTTTGTCAAAAGTGGGTAATGCATTTAATTATGGGAAGAAGTGCTATAAGCATGTCCCTGCCTACACATGATTGATCTTTGCTGTATTTTGTTGCCAAAACACTCCATTTGAACAAGGGAGTGCTGTAACGCCACTGAGCAGTAAAATTCAGCAGATATTGTTCAAGTCTCACAGAAGAAAAAGCTTGATATACTTAGTTCAATCTGCTACCTCATCATAGCCAAGCCCAGCCAGAACTCCACACATTTCTCTTCCTAAATAACGCTCTTTGTGAGGTTGGTTTCCAGCTCCAGAATGACAGCTCTATTTCGAATTGTCTGGTAGAGACTGGCGTACCTAAGGTGCTTTTTAATTTTTCCACTTCTTTTAAACAGTCTCAGTGAACTACAGGTTAAAAAATAAACTAGCTAATAAGTCACATTATGCATTTGTTCTCCCACTACATGCTACTGCTTTTTTGAGAGACGATCTCTGTTGTGAGGTTTTACAGCATTCACAATAAACTCTCTCCTGCGGCCATATCGACAGAAGAACTCCCTTAAACTCATCACATTTATCAGTACACACCAATGCACTTCTGATTACAGTCACCGGCAAAGAACATTCTGATATGGACATCTAATTTACTGACTGTGTGACTTCTGGCACTTCCAGTTAGGTATTCAAAATGACAGGTACACGTTCTAAAATTTGTTTTGAAACCTCTGACATATACCTTGTTTGAACAGCAATGCTGCTGACTTCCCCAATTCCGGGAATACAAACTCCATCAGCTGATATCCGAGATCAGGGGCTCACAAAGATGCCCGAAATAGACCATTTTAACTGCAGTGTATATGCAGCTTTCTCCAGTCACTTGGCAGATGGACTGTGAATCCTTTTTGGAGCTGCCTACTATCTCTGGGCAGAAGAGATACTATTTTTTACATGATTTTCCAAAGTAAATGAAGTAAAAGATAGAAGCAAAAAGATGTAATTGCAAAAAGCGTAAGGAGAAGGCACTGCACAAGTGGCTTCTCTCTTTTTAACCATCCTTATCATCTTGCAGCCCAGAAGACATCTCAGACTGCTCTAAAAAGTTCTGTACCTGTTAAGAGGCAGAACAGCTGAAGCAATCACTCCCTAACTCCTTTCTTGGCATAAATGTAACAGAAGAACTGGGTTCCTGTGACCAGTACACCACAGTACAAGAGGGTCTCTGGCTTGCTACCATTTCACATAAAAACACATTCAAGAGCACTTTTCCAAAGGCTTGTGGGGGTATTTTAGGCAACTTGACAGAAGATGCTGGCAAACGGGCAACACAATATTCTTAAGACTGGCATCTTGCACAGGTAGTTAAACAGTAGAGGACAGGCATAGTCAGAAATCCAGGAGCTCCTTTCAGATATGATATAAAGTAGTAAACTTTCCTGGAACCTGTTATAGAGTCAGTTAGCATTCACCACAGCCATGATGACAACCCACTGACACGCTGTTGGAAGACAGAACTTTCCTGGCTTATTCCTGGCTTCCCTAACCCACACAACAGGCTAACCTGACACTCCTTCTTCAGAACGCAGCAGATTAACAGCTAAGTTGTCTTTACTGTCAATTAAGACAGTTATGAATGTGAAAACACGATTTGCAGATAGAATTATTGTTTTAGTTAATTAAGAAATTTAGGATTTGTCTTTAATGCAGGCCTCATCTTGCCAAAATGTTTTGCTAGCCACACCACCTGAATTACACCACTGCAATAACCCAGGGTACACATTCATACTGAGATAGAGGTGTACACAAACTGGCATGCAAAACATTTAAATACTTTTAAAACAAGCTGTCTGCCCCATATTTTATCACTGCACCTGATATGCAACAACTAAATCCACCTTGATAGTTATCATAGAAAACAGGTTTGCTTAAAGCACAGTTGAAGACAACACCGTTCCACTGCCAGAAACTGAAATTTTGAAGACAGTCAGCACTGAGGATTTTCTGTTACTTTGAGGTGGGGAAAAAAAATCTGCTAGGAGTCCAACGTGGTCACAAAACATGTTAAAAATCGCATGAGCTACAGCCTGCCTTCACTGATCATTCTTTGCAAGACTTCTCTTCCCTCTGACAAATTGTATTAATGCACATTCAGCTTCCCAAGAAGGCAGCTGCTGGATTCTCTGAAATCTTTTGAGCTGGTTAAAGTTAAACTGTCAAGAGGCTAGCAAAGAGCCAAATCTTATTTAGGACATTTTCAAGCAAATGTTGTCAGTACCTCAAATTATACTGAGGCTTTCCTTATCTAAATCAAAAACCACAGTTATGCTTGTCCTTAGTGTTCCTCCCTGCCCCTATCCTCCCCAAACCTACACAGTGCAAAGACTACAGGCACAAAAGCAGGAAAAATGAGAATTTTAAGATGTTCTGATATGGTGCTATGGGAATCGGGAATAAGACTGGAATGGTCAAAAGAAAAGCTGTCTGCAGGCAAAAATGCTGGGCGGAAATGCTCCAACAAGTAAGGAGACGGGGGTAGGAATTCAGCTTCCTCTAGGGGCTAGATGGCAAAATTATTAGTGCAGAACTTGTCACTTGTCAGCCAAAGAGAAGGAAAGGCCAACTGATGGAACACACGTATTTTTCAAGTCAGAAGACATCAGGCTGCTTTTCTACACGGGACAGGTCATTGTGCTTGATCAAATGTTGCTCGTAGCATGTTTGCGCCCTGCAACTGAACTCTGCTCTCAAGAAGATCTTGGATTTCAGTGAAGAATAGAGTCCGTGCAAATGTCACAGAATGGCTGAGGTTGGAAGGGACCTCTGGAGATCATCCTGGCCAGCGCTCTGCTCAAGCAAGATCACCTACAGTCAGCTGCCTAGGACTACAGCTTTTGAATAATACAAAAATAGATACTGTACTGGGGAGCTCAGAACTTCACAGTTACAGCTTTACCAGCACTGAGCAGAGGGAAAGGACCACCTACCCACCTCCCTCAACTTGCTGGCAACAGTTCTCCTAATGCAGCTCAGCGTACCGTTGGCCTTCTGAGCCTTGAGAGCACACTGCTGGTTTGTGGGCAGCCTGGCATCCACCAGGACCTCCAGGTCCTCTTCTGCAAAGCTGTTTTCCAGCTGCCTGACCCGTGGTCAGCATATATCGAGCGGTCCTTGGGGATGTTCCTCCCCGGGTGCAGGACTCTGCACTTGTTGAATTTCACGAGGTTCCTGTCAGCTCATTTCTCCCGTCAAGGTTCCTCTGGATGGCAGCACAACTCTCTGGCATATCAGCTGCCACTCTCACTCTAGTGTCATCAGCAGACTCTGCCCCACCATCTAGGTCATTAACCAAGACATTAAACAGGACCAGACCCAGTTTTGACCCCTAGGGTACACAGCTGGTTATTGCCCTCTGACTGGACTTCATGCTACTGATCACCAAGTTTCAGGTCTGGCCATTCAGACAGTTTTCAACCCACCTCACAGCTTGCTCATCCAGCTCACACTTCATCAGCATATACTCCTGGTATTGCTGGCACCTTCTAACGATGAAGAGTAAATTAAAATGTTTAATTTGGAAAAAATCACACATGTATCCTGTCTCTCTTGTTAAAATGCTTAACATATTCTGTGGCTCCCAACTCCTCCAGGGTCAGAGGAAAAGCAATACGCCCAGTTTGTCAGCCAAGAGATCCTAAGATATAGCCTCTTCTGCAGTATATTTTGTTAAATAAACAACAGCTAAACAACTCTGACCATAAGTCTCTCAAAGAAATCCTACTACTCGCTGTTGGCCTCAAGTATTTTTTTTCTGCTGGAAGAACAAAAGAAAAAAACAAACAACAAACAGGAATTCTGGATGATTATAGAGCTCAGAGATCAGAAAGATTAACCCTATAGACAGAAGTAAATACAGTGATTTTTTTTTGACATTTCATGAGTCTCTCATAGAAACTTATTCTGGGAAGAGATCAGTAAACTCACAGCATGCAAGCGCCACCCACTGTCCTGAGATCAGAGCGCCACATTTTGAACTTGGATTAGCCTGTAGTGTTGCAGGGGATTGTTGTGGCCCAACCGTAGGACCTGGCACTTGGCCCTGTTGAAGCTCATACCATTAACATTGGCCCATCAATCCAATCTATCCAAATCTCTCTGTAGGGCCTCCCTACCCTTGTGCAGATCAATGCTCCCACCTAAACTGGTGTCATCTGCAAACTTACTGATGATACACTCCATGTCCTTATCAAGATCATCAATACAGAGGTTACACGGTCCCAGCACTGATCCCTGAGGAACACCACTCATGACCGGCTGCCAGCTGGATTTAACTCCATTGACCACCCCTCTTTGGGCCCGGCCATCCAGCCAGTGCTTTATCCAGAAGATCACAGGCTCATCCAAGCCATGAGCACCCAGTATTTCCAAGAGAATTCTGTGGGGAACAGTGTCAAAGACTTTTCAAAAGCCTAGGTAGACAATATCCACTGCCTTTCTCTTGTCCAATACTCAGGTCATCTTGTCCTAGAAGGAGATCAGGTTCATCAGGCAGGACCTGCCTTTCATAAACCCACGCTGATTGGGCCTGATCCCCTGGTTGTCATCTATATGGCATGTCATGACAGTCGAGATGATCTCTCCTTCTCTTTGTCTTTTCAGTAACTCCCAGTCCCACCTGCCTCCCTCCCATGCCAATGTACGGTGATGTTAATATCACACTTAACTCACTGTCTCTCCAACCAACGACCTTTTCCTTTTTACAGTTGATGTCTGAAGTTTTAGCGCTATCTTACCTTAAAGATATGTCATTTGGGGTCCTAGTCAAAACTTAAGATCAGTACCCTATCCTCACCTTTGTCAGGAATCACATTCAGTACATGGGCTCATGTTGCTTTTATAATACTTGTTCCTTGGTTTCCAGAATCCTTTCCTTTATTACTTCAATAAGAGGAACAGAAGAAGGATCCTTCCCATATACTTCTCCCCAATATCCACTGCTCTAATGTCCATTTCTTTACAGATGTTAGCATTATCTGTAAATGCAAGTACAGCTGAAAGTTCACAAATACACAAGACCACTCTTCCTCCATGCAAACTAAAGCTTTACCCTATACATTCCTCCTTACAGATCCTCATTCATCTCTTCATCCAAGTGCAGCATGACTAAAAATAGAGGTTCTTAATCCCCCACTCTCCTCCAATTGGGATTTTTTGGAAACTGTGACTAATACCATGATGGTCACTCACACTTTCATTTAACCTTCATCTTAAACACCTCTCTAAAATTCACAACCAGATTAAACTAAGCCGTGAGGATTTTTCTTTTTTTTGTATGATTTGAGTGGTGAGACCTTCCCAGTTCATCCACTTGGCTAAAATTCTTGTTCCAACTCACTACCTCAGGTCTTAACACACTGCTTTCTCCCTAGGGCATATACACAGACATTCACAGATGCACACAAGAGATATCACTGAAACGCTAAAGCCAATTATTTCCTGCTGTTGCTCAAGACAAGGGTACAACTTATCACACCCTACTGTAATGGGCTGGTGCCACTGTAATAACAGCATAAATAAAGGAATAGATTCTTCCTAGAGTAACTGTCATTCGTGGTGCATCACACTGCAGATGCTTGTGCCCTTCACGCTCCACCTCTTTGGCCAGTGGGGGCTGGAGGCTGTGACCTCTCTTTAGTCATTCGCAATCTGTGCTAATTGAAGGTTTGGAAAAAGCAGTGACTGGGGTCAGATGTGGCATTCATTGGACCTCAACACCCACAAAACTATGACTGTTGAGAAGGTGAGCAATTATTCTCAATGTCTTTTGTCAATTAATTCTTAGCTCCTCTTTAAATTCTTCTGTTGGTTACATGTAAGCCAAAAAGCTTTCTGGGATAATGGGAGCTGGGAGGTTTAGCAGCATTCAGCAAAATGAACTGAAATCCTCCTCCTTCTAATACAAACTCTTATAGAAGCTGTGTTCATTAGCATTTAAACACTTCAGGCAATAGTAGCAGATTGAAGATGCAGGCTGACAACTCCACCTGAGCGCTGTGGAAACAAACCCTATGGGTCTGTGGAAGGGGTGCAGTGGCATTTGGCAGATGACTTAGTACATCACTACACTACTGATTTTGACAGTCTCATGAGACAGCACGGCTTTTTAATAGAAAGGAGAAGAAATACTCTAAAAAACTGGGTCCTTTTATTAAAAAAAAGTCTGTTTTACTGAAGAGTTCAGTCAATAAATGATCTCATCTGAATATGACTGAGAGAAAATCAGTTAAGCTAAAGCCATCAACCTACACAAAAGTCACTTTTGTCAACCAAGCAGTTTTTTTTTTGTCAGTGTCAGGACGGGTACGATGGCCCTTAACCTACCATCAGCTTTGCCTTAAACATTGTCCCGCACTCATTAAAAAAGTATAAGTGGTAGCAGTACTGCAATGACTAGATATCAAGTGTCAAGACATACACAAGAATAATAGTTGGGCTTTTTCCTGCATGCTACAAACTTTTCTCTGCAAAGGAAATACAAAGGGAGATACTGAACATTCTTCTAACCCTTCTCAAATCACGTGATTAACGTGCACAAATCTCCCATCATCCTTTACACATAAAAGAAAAAACTCAACATTTCTCTATTTATGAACTCAGGTTTCACAGCAGAAGAGAACAGATAAGAATGTCTTGCCTACTCTTCTCACATCTGAAAGGAAATTTATGCATCCAGTACAGCCAATGGTCTCCTAAGGTAACATACAGCTGATACGTTGTTGAAGCACATGCAGGAACTTCTATTTTTATTTTAAAATGAATGCACATACCACAGTTCCCACAGCAGTTCTGCTGATACAGTAAAATGGTTCACAAAGTGCAACCGTCAGACCACAGTCCAAGCATAATCCATTTGCTCACAAGCTAATGACAGTTCTGTGAAGGTGATTCAGGGAAAACAGTTTTTTCATTTTGAAGCTCATCCAATACCAACAACCGCCTTACATTTTTCAACACAATTCTCTGTGGTAGCCTTTTCTCACTTATTTCTCTCTCCAGAATAACAGCCATAGGCTTAAGAAAGCAGTAAAGCAAGCAATTCTTTTTTATATTTCCTTATGTTCAACTGCATTTCTGTAACAGGATGACAGGTTATTCCAGCCTGTGATACATCGCATAACTTTCCGTCTCAGCCCTGCGATACTGGTCTTGCCACCCCAAGCCTTGCAAATGCTTGCTCATGCTGCTGAGCCACACACTGAAGTATTACATGGTAGCTTTACCTTGCAAATCAAACTTTATAGGCTCTGGGTAACAACATCACCCCACTACACAGCAAACGTAGGCCTGTTACCAAAACTGAATTATCTAACGTCCTTTTAATACAGAAACAGGAGACAAAGACAGCTTTTGCTGTCCAAGTCCCTCATGCTGACACTGACTGGAGAAGAGGACCAAGGATGGTGCAAGACAATTCTGCTCCTTGCAAGTTTGCCAGGGAACACTGACAGCCAAAGGACTCACATGCAATTCCATCACTTTCCCGCTCAAAGTATTTTTTTTTTAGTAATGACCATATGTATAACTTCAGTGAGATGCACAACAGCCAGGCAGCAAGTTAAATCTTGAGGTGTCAGTAAAGGTCACTGAAAGAAGAGTTAGATTAGGAAACTTCTGAAAGCGAGACCAGTATTAAAACAAATACTCGAGTACAATTGACGCACAGAAAAAAAAAAAAAGTCATCACCTCTGAGCCAGTATAGCCCGGTGAATAAAGCTATACTAGCAAAACCACCCAGGCAGGGAGTTAGAGTACCCTTATGGAGCAAAACAGTCATTCCTCTCCCCTCACCCTCTTGTATCATTAAGTCACACAACAAACTGTACAAGACAGGAAGCCCCTACAGCTAAATTGACTTACACTTAAATTGACTTAAATCAACTGCCTTACAAGTTACAGGTCTCCTCTAGCACTTCTTCCCCAAAATATGCAAAGCTCCCAAAGCAAAAACAGCTTCCCACATTACCATATAGTTATAGCTGTATTTACATAAGCAGAGATCTATCAGTCCTGGAATTTCAATATGCTCCACAAACAAAACATTCATAGTGGGAATGCGGTGATTCAATGCATAAGCCCTATGGTTAACCACGGAGAAAAGCAGTCTTCCCCCTTGAGCAAAATCAACTGCACTAGTGGAAGTGACAATTCTGTAATTAACTATGCCAAGAAATTTTACTGGTATGGCTGCTTCTGGCTGGGAATCACATGTCTCTGTGAGTCAGCTGAAAAATCAAGACCAGCAAATGTCTGGGGTGGCCAGAAAACTCTATAAGCACCTTTTCTGTATTAGAAGCACATAAATCAATTCCAGCTCATCACAGATCATTTTTTTAAGGAAACCATTTAATTGCCCTATCTTTCCTTTTTCCTTTTAATTGATCAATGCGCATTCACCGTTCAGTGCTAGCACTCCGCTTTAATCTTCCTGGCAGAACAGCAGCACTGTGTCACAGCTCTCACGCACCTGCATCAAGACTCTCAGCGTATTTTCCTGAAAACAGTTTAGGGCTAATTCAGAAGCAACACTCTGTAACAGACACCCAGCTGACAAGCCCTCAAAACCACAATGAGAAGCCAGGAAAAGCAACTATGTGTCTACAGAGAAATGTCAGGTCTTCTAGGAAAACTTTACTTCAAGATATTTAAAAAAAATGAGAGTTAATAAAACTCATCTCGGCTCCAGTATCTTTTGCATGAAAATGATCTGGCTCAAACCCCTCTGATTATCCTGTATAAAAACAGTATGATCATTTTAGCGTTCCATTAATTAGAATATGGCATTCTAGAGAACTTAAAAGCTTTCATTGGTATTTTTCCTCCAAATGGATGAGTGAGCCGTGTGCCGGTGAAGAAACTTAACAAGTGACCGCAAGTAGCCAGGTGGAGTTAAAAAATTCCAAAGATATTTTGGAAGATAATGATGCTTTAGCAGGGCCACATTTGTTTCAGACGCATAACAAATCAAGCAAGGCAGATTTGATGACAGAATGAGAAACACACACACACAAAGAGTGCTCTAAACAGTCTCTCTAACTAGAAATGAGTTGACTGAAACAACAGTTTGTCTCCTGCTCCATAAAAAAAAGAGTATAGGAAGGACAGAGTTTGTCACATTGAATAAAAATATTTACTTAAGTCTGGTTTTAAAGCTTGCTCCAGGTAAATCGATTTTCTGATCTATATTTCTTTGAAATACAAGTTCAATACAAGAAGCATCAAGCAATAGCTTCTGCAAGACAGTTCAATTCTTTCATTGGAAAGAACTATCTGTTTACCAGAAAGATTGTGTTTAATGTTTACACTCTACCTTTTGTGGTATCAGAAATGCTGTTTAGCAAGGCACACATCATGTCTCCTTCAACGTGGTGAGGATTTAGGATGCGAGCTGACCGCTGGGTCATCTTAAATTGAGTTTCCAGTTCCAGGAAGCTTTTGTCTCCAGAAAGGATAGTAAAAGGAATTTGCTTGGGCAGGTGTTCATCCAGACGACCAGCCTATACGGACACAAGTGACAAGTGTTGAACTCAGATCATGTTTTTATCTTGTGGGGTATGGCCAACATTTTCTAAGATAGGTCTTCATAGGAAAGCCTTCCACAGCAACTTACCTTCACTTCTATGGTTTGATGCACATTATACCACTCTGAAGGTATTATTTCAACAGTTTGACACTGTATTTATTCTATACAGTATGACAACAGATAAAGGAAATGGCTAGCAGAACAGTCTGGATGGAGTATGGAACAAATTCCTAAAATGCAGCATTTCAGAACCATCTCCATGTAAAGCAAGTCATCTGTGCTTTTTAAGAACCATAAAAAAGCATACTGTAACATACAAGCACTGATACAAAACACGCTCAGATCATACAATTAGATTCTCAAGTAGAGTTATCTAACTGACAAAGCACTAGACTAAGAACATGAGCCCCCCCACTGCATCTCAGATTCCTGTCCTTCACCTGCACCTCTCCCGACTCAGCCACAGCCCTAAATCTACTGAACAGAGGCACCACCTTTTAGTCAGCCCAAAGGGTCTCAGAAACTGGCACCCATCCAGCTCCATCTTAAAGATGGCTTGAGATTTGGGCTCCTTGGAGAGAGGCAGCAGTTACATTTCTCTCCAAAACAGAAACCGTAAGAATTGGGGGTTTTTATTCTTCATTCTCTAACCAGCCCCCTCCCCCTCCATAACAGACTGATGTCCTATTGGGGATTACATTCTTATTCCTATGGAAACGGGGGGGGGGCGGAAAAAAGAAAAGAAAAGAAAATCAATTCTCAACAGGCTATCTCCACTCACTTCACTGACAGGCTTATCATTCTTTTTAGTGGATGTAGAAGTCCTGTGAAGAGAATCTAAGAACCTCATCTGTAATTAGGACTTAACATCAATAGCAAATAACATCTGCCACTCTTCTCTGGGTACAGACAAACACAACAAAAAAAAAAAAAAAAAAGCACTAACTTACATGAACACAGAGAGCAAAGTCTGCTGCTTCTCTTCTGGTACCACAGCGTGGATGAAGAAAGAAGCATCCAATCCTCTTAAGATAATTGTAAATTTTGCACTGCACTGGAGGTTTCCAGTTGCTGTATCCTCCTAAACAGTAAAGAAGGAGAAAAAATAAATTAATAAAACCCCACAAACAAACAACAGAAAAAACAGATATGCCACCATGAATTATTATCACAAGAAGGCAAAAGCGAATATAAATCTAGCTTTTGAAGGTAGAATTCATTTTGACCAACGTGAAAGTTAAAATACATATATAACCTAAATCCCAAAAGATTTGGGTTAGAAAGCAAAAAAGGAAAAAGTAGCTAGTCTGATCCTACACAAAGCCTTTCATTTGATTTTGAATGAAATTTTTCTTCTACTCCTGAAAAACTCAATCTTCTGGATATCATATGCAATGAAAACACAAGGATGTATATGTTTCAAGCTCACTTATGGCTACCATGCAGAAGCAGAGGAGCTCTGGGAAGATGATATAAGTAACAGAAATGCTTCTCTTAGGGAATCCTGTAGTGATGTAATGCTCGAGATAATTTCAAGCAGACTCTACAACTGCCTGACACACCACACAGATCTTTTTTTTAAGAGTTCTGACAAGAACTGAAGCAACAGCTGAAACAAACACTAGAATCCTGAAAAACATTTGGATCCAGTCAATGATAAGTAAAATGAGGCTACAACTTGGGGAAAAAATGCAGGAATCTTCTCATCAGTACCCAAAGCCATGTAGTTACTGGCTGAGAAAACAGTTGGAAAATAGAGATGAGCTCAGTAACAGGCCTGCTACAGATAAAAAAGAATCCCAGGCTGAAACAGGTTGCAAGTGAAAGGAAAGGAGCAGCAAGGCTCTCGAGAGAGGGAAAACTAGAGGAGTTTGCAGTTACTATGACAACACAAAAAGAGAAACAAATGGAAGGACAATTTGAAGGGAGTGAGAATTTCACGTCATTCTCAACCGCTAAGAAATAACAAAGGGGAGGGAAAAAAAATCTGACAGATTTTTGCTTTATCTGCCAGATGGTAAGAGAGGCTGGATGTAAGAAAGGATTTTTAATGGGAAGAGAAAGCAGTGATAGATGCCACTTCATGTGAGGACACGCGAAACTAAGGCTCGAGTAAACAGGCTCCACAGGATTGTGTATTCCAATCTGTCCGCTCCCAGGATGACACAGAAGTAGAAGCCATCTGCAGTAGATTACTCCTGGGATATTTTTAGTTTGTTCTTTTCCTTCTTCTTTCTCTTTTCAGCCTAATGGCCATAAGAGGGTATCAAAATGATTTCAAAGCTCACAAGTTTTGTAACAGACGACACAGAACTTATTCAAGATTATTTGTCCATGAGAAAAACAACAATTGCAAGTTGTTCTCATCTGTTGCGAAAGCCTTTGTCACTCCTGTTTGCAGAAGACTTGTAATCACCAACCCTGGCTTTTTGCTGCATAAATGTACAACAAACACTTGACCAGGACATTTGGAAACAATGACATAACATATATACTATGGTGAAGACAGACCACAAATGGGTAAAGGACAACTGAATACCTGAAAGCAGAAGCAATACAGAGCCCAGACAATACAGCAGAGAAACTCAAAGCAAATTTAAGGCTGTATTAGCAAGAGGAGTAACAGAAAGAATGCAGGAGTATCATATGAAAATAATAATGCAGGAGTATTGTATAAAAATAATTAAATATAACCAGAAATGTTGTCTGGGAAATGCAGGGGGGGAAAAAAAAAATCAGAAGAGGCAGGAGCATCGTTTGTTTACTCTATGAAAATATAGCAAGAACAGTATGCACCAAACAACCTTAGCAAACCCTTATTCTGTGAGGGCACCTCCAACAATAAATCCAGATGTGCCTGGGAGCCTTGGCATTCGGGCTCTGCAACAATATAGTTGATACTAAAAAACTGCTAAATTGTCCTCTGATATGAATACAGCACACTTTAATCACTGTTAACTCTTCGATGTAGGTTTTTTAGTTCAGGTGCCCCAGGGGCCGTTCCCACAAGGCAGTTCGCACGCAGCAGCCCTGTCGGGGAAGCAAGAAATTGTCTGGCACTGGTGTGGGCTGGGCGGTGGCAGCAGGTGCCTGTGCTTGGAACATCCGCAGGCACAGAGTCTTAATTGGCACCGAGGTACCTTTGGGTCAGAGAAGAGACATTCCTGACATTACAGCTCACACATTCTTAGGTTTGATCAATTTTGCCTTACTGAATCAAAACAGTGCATTTTAACCTTGGGAAACAGTAACAGCAAAGAAGACTGTCATGACAAACAAGCTTGGTCAATTTGAGTAAACTAAATAGAATAACAAAAGCATAACTGAAAGCGAGTGCTTGTATTCAAGTGAAAAAGTTTGACATAACTGTGAAAAAACACTCTTTATCAAATAACTCTTTATAAAACCCAGACAGAGCAGCTTTGGACTTTAGATGTCAAAAACGCCTGACATTTCTTCAAGTCAGATTCCTAATAGTTTCTTATTTTTATCTGCAGAAAAAGCAAAAAAAAAAGGGGGGGTTCCAAGACCAAGTGGGTTGAATAACTACAGAATAAACCAACAAATCTTCAGCAATTAAAATCCAAACTCCAAATCACAATAGCCTTAGAAGTCAAGGAGTGCAGAGATGAAGTGAAATTTCACCAGAATTCAAGCTTGGCAAAAACTCACAAAAGGTACTAAGAACAAACACTATGTTGTTCTGCCATACAGAAAAGAGAATACAAATAAATGGAGCAGTCAGGCAGCAAGGAAGAAATAGAAATCCAGGATGATTAGGTATAATCTAAAACCTCAAAATCAGTATTTTCTGTGGTTTTGTGCACATGCACAAGAATGCTGTTACTGTACACAGAGGCCAAAAGCTATGTAATGACACAGAAGTAAGGCCTGAGCAGAACACAAAACTCTGGACCATAAGCTGCTTTAATGAAGAAGACCAGAGGGTTCATCTCCAGAACTCCTAACAACCAGACATTGCACCACAGACCCAGGAGCACAGCTGACTCTTAGAAGAAATTAGACTTTTTACATGAACAGACATCCTTGCTTTGTCTTCACCAGCTAATTGGAACAGCTGTTCCTAAGAGGAAAAAAATAGAAAAAAAAAATTCAGGCATCAACAGGCCTTTCTGTCCAACCTCAGCAGCATAAAAACTCTCAGCTTGCAGGATGTTCTCGATTATATCTTAAAGGTAGAGATAATAAAAAACGTTGTGTAGAGACGAAACGCAGGGCAATGGCATTTAAGTGTAAAATGTGCCTGATAATTCCTGCAAGTCTGTTAAGATGATCATAGAATCATAGAATGGCCTGCGCTGGAATGGACCTTAGAGATCATTTAATCCAACCTCCCTGACGGGCAGGGGCGCCTCCCAACTAGATCAGGCAACACATGGGGTGCGAACGGGAATTGGACCCGTGACCTTGGCATTACCAGCACCATGCTCAACCAACTGAGCTAACCAGCCCCCGTGTTTCAGGCAATAAATATTTTGAAAGTATCCCTCATCTAGACTTTATTGGAGTATTCAGTATACCACAGGCAAAATAATTATAAAGGCAGATATGGAGAAAATCAGTGGAAAAAGCATGAGGTGGACAAGAAATTGTTTCAAGAAGTCAGGTCAGGAAAAGCAGCAAGTTAAAGAGACATTATTCATAGACCACAAAAAGTTTTCTTACAAACCCATAACCGTATAAGTTCTATCAATCACTCTGCACAACTACCAGTATCTTCCAGATGTGAGACAACACCTACTGATGCACAGAATGACCAAGGAGCAAGCCAGAGACAGAACAAAATTCAAGTACAAGAACATAAAATGCTGCCTTTTGGGACAACAAAGAAAAAGAACATTATGATAAGGACTTCGCAGTTAGAAAGAAAATAATCTCCAAGTATTATGACTGACCTGATAATTATGAAAGTCTAGTATGATATAGCCTAGGTAAGTTCAGCGGGGAAGCCAGAAAGACTCCCAAACTCTTTAGCAAATATGCAACAATGTTCTACAAGGAACAATAAGAAGAGGGGAGATAAAGACTGAGGTAGAAAAGGTCAAGAACATGTCTATTACACAATGCCTGTGACACTATGACTTAAGAAGCCCTTGTGGCTGCTGTCCCTGTTCTTTGCTCTCTCTGATTCAAAGAAGCTCAAGCGTTTGTGTAGACCTGTTAATCTTATCTTCCTATTTCCTTCAAGCACTTATTACCTTGAAAGCCCCAGATAAATGTCCCTTGGTTCAGGCTAGCTGGCAGCTGCGTGAATAAGCTTCCCCAGTTGTCCAGATCCATCAACACAATGTGAGTCATGGTACTCAGGTAGTCAAGATCAGGAAGTTCACCATCTTCAATGGGATAAAAAGGATGCATTTAAAATTCACCTGACCTTCTGGTCAACCAACACACACCAACTTAAGATATGCTTTTGAAAATTCATGTATTCAACTGTTTTAAAAGCTAGAAGTTACTGCATTGTTTTTAAATCAACTGAAGTAGCATTTAGTAATGCACGAATCAGCCTAAAGAAAGCAGAATCGAGCAATACAATGATGTAGAGCTATTGTCGTGCCTTGAGTCCATTTAATATTTAGCTGTGCCTCCTCTACAATGTCTCTGTGACATTTAATTGCTTACATGCATAAATGCACGTAAAATGTTTAGAGACACACTTTTTGCTGTAAATCTAACATAAACATCAACCTTTTAATCAAAAGCATGATGACATCACAAGTAATTAAAAGCACTTCCCATTTCTGAACACAGGGTACACCTTCAGCATTCTTGATGTCATTCTTATATCGTGGTTTGGAAGAAGTGACATGAACTTAAAATATTTGCATGCTGAAGGCAAAAAAACACTAATACATACTGAGAATATAAATTCTCTGATGAAATTATTTTTTGGCAAGCTAAGCAAACTGAGGAGATGGTGTTATAACAGGACTGCCCACACAGAAAGCACTATCAGGCTCATAAATATTTATATATACAAAGGAGGTAAGTTTCTCTTGAATGTGTGTTATATCATTTTTACATTTTTTAGGATTTAGATCTCTGTCTGGTGTCCTTGACTGTCTTCTCCCTTTTAACTCCAAACGATGCTCCCAACTACTTTGAAAATTAAGTATTTCTGTTCCAGGGTTCTCACATCTGCCTACTTATTGTTTGTTAAAGACTTCATGCATATGGCAACAGCAATAAATTGAAGCCAAGTTCTGGAACCTCAAATACCAAGAATTCAAAATACAGCTTTGAGAAATAATTGCTAAATTCTGAGCTGATTTGCAGACTGGATATAGGCAAATCTTACTACATACCTGTACCGATGTTGAAACAGTGTGCTAAAGACAACAATGTTTTTCTGACATTAAAAAACCCAAATAGTAATTCCACAAACCTTCACCAGATTCTTCAGCTTGTGGTGAGTTCTCTTTTTTAAATTTCTTTCCTTGGGTTGGTCCCTGCAGGGGAGACTGTGGTCTTTCCTGAGTCCTGGATGGAGATGCTTGAAATTTTAGCTTGTGAGGTTTTCTGTCCACACAAGCCCCACTTGCTGTGAACTTGAATACTGTATCTTCCGATTCTGGTGAAAAACTTGATAGATCAGGTTTCTGCAAGAAGCAGTGTTTCATGTGATAGTGCTGATGCGCACTCTGAAGATCGTGGAAGTTTTTGTTGCACGCAGCACATCTAACAACATACATCTCTTCCTTAGGTTTCAGTGAAGTGTGACTGTTGAGATGACTGTTCAAATCATGAAAATTCTGTGCAGTTGCAGAACAGAAGCAGCATCGAAACCATAAATTCCCTTTTTTCAGCATGGCTTTCTGGCAATTCACATAATCGTTCCTCCTGTTTATTCTGGAGACGTAAGTTGTCCGGCAACCACAGGTTAAATAGTCTCCTTTTTCTACTGGGAGGAAGTCCTCCTCTTTTTTTATTGATAGTTCCATCTGCTCTGGCACAAATGCATAGTCCACACTGTGAATCTCTTTATAATGGCTTAAGAATTCTTCTTCTGTGTCAAAGAAGAGATTACCACAAAGGCCACAGAAGTATTTAGTCTGTATCTCCTCGTTATGATGCTCCCGAAAGTGTCGCTGCAGCGTTCCTACTTTCCGAAAGTGATTTCTGCATAAGCCACAAGAGTATCTGTGAAACGCATGGCTTTCCAAGGACATGCAATGTTGCTTAACGCTCTCTTCGGACTCAAACATCTCCTCACAGATGCGGCACTGCCATTTTCCCAGAACGGGCCTTTTTTCAGGGGAGAGGTCCATAGGACTAGGAACGCGGTCTTGCCTTTCACCTGCAGCAACATACGCTCCAGCAGAAGCAGATGGCAAAGGTTCATCTTCTAGAGCTTCTTGCTCGTAATAGTAACTATGTCCACCATGAAATTCAGTCACGTGTCCCATAATATCCTCTTCTCTGAGATCTACAGAGCACGCTCTGCACCACAGGAGAAAATTAGTCAAGTGCGCTCCCCCGTGGAACCGACTCATGTGCAGGCGGATAATGCTTGAATTTTCAGCAAGCTTTCCACACACAGCACACTTGTGACAGATCCTGTTCGCTGATAAAATATGCTTTTCTACTGACTCTTCGGTAAAAAACTTTTGAAGGCATTCACAAAACCAGGCTTTTACTTTGCAAGCATTATCTTGACTTTGGTTTGTGACATGATCTTCATGTTTATCTTTGAAATTGCTCTTCCATTCTGAAGTAGCAGACTCCCTTTCACCAACAGACTCATTTGAAGTCAAAGGTCTTTTAAGCAGCGGTCTTGACCGATCCACCATATGACACAAATGAGACTGGTTTTTATTTTTTCCATTGACATGACAGAACATCAGGATGGACTCTTCCATTGTAGTAAAAACTTTAATATTATGTTGAGTGGTTTGCTTATGCTGGGTGATCTGATTTTGATCAGCAAACAGTTTATCACAGCTCTCACAGTGTCCTTTTGTATTAAATATCTCCGCAACTTGGGAGATACTCTTCTTTGACAGTGCCACGGGTCCAGAATTACGACAATGTGTTCTAGAACAGATTAAAAAAATAAAGAGGTTATATCATAATGTGAAACAATTTCAAACTGTCCGATGTAGTTTGAAATACTACTGTAGGTGATCCTGCTCTGCCAGGGGGGCTCGACTAGATGATCTTTTGAGGTCCCTTCCAACCCTTGACATTCTGTGATTCTGTGATTCAGCAGCTACAGCAAATCGTATGTGGAAATAGTGTCCTCTGTATCATAGAATCATGAATCATAGAATGGCCTAGGCTGGAAGGGACCTTAGAGACCATCTAATCCAACCTCCTGTCATGGGCAGGGACACCTCTCAACTAGATCAGGCTACTCAAGGCTTCACCCAATCCGGCCTTGAACATCTCCAGGGAGGGGGCAGCCACAGGTTCTCTGGGCAATTTATTCCAGCATCTTGCCACCCTCATATCGAAGAATTCTTTCCTAAGATCCAATCTAAATCTGTTTTCCTTTAACTTAAATCCATTTCCCCTGGTCCTATCGGCAGACACTTTTGCAAAAAGCCCCTCCTCAGCCATTGACCACAACTCTTTGAGTGTGACCTTCTAGCCAGTTCTTTATGTGCCAAGTGGTCCATCTATCAAGCCCATGTCTCTCCATCTCAGAGACAAGGATGTGATGTGGGACAGCGTCAAACACCTTACATGCTCTAACTCACCTACTAGCTTGCCAACAAAAACATGCAATACCTGTCTAGTCTCTGCACTTAAGAATGTGTTAAATTTCCCAAACTAGCACTTAGATTGATGCTTCTGTTGTTGACTCAGTACCTTTTAGAAAACAAATGCTGCCAACTCAAAAATAGTGAAACTGAGACCAAAGTTCTCTTGCTCTGTTACAGACAACAAAAAGGATAGGGACATCGATCAGCATTCTGCAGTGGACTGCGTGGGGTAAAACGGGGTAAAAGGCATGAAAAAGGGGCATTTTTTGGATGGTTTGCTCTGGAAGTCACCATTCAGGTGGTCCCACATGCCCTAAAATCCACTAGCATCACTAAGAAGACATCTGCCAATCTGTTATCCACCTATGGATGTTCACGTGATAAAGACAGCTGTCTCTCACAAACCTGAAATGAGCTGTTAATTCCATATGCGAGCGTAGGATCTGGTAGCAGGATATACATTTCACTTGGAAGGGGACCTCTTTGCACAGAGATATCAGAAGGTTCTTTGCATAGGATGGGAAAGGTAGAGGAAGGCCAGCCTTCATTTCATCTAGGAGATGGAAAGGTAGAAAGTACAACCACACATGAAAGAGTTCTCTCATAGTATTTCAGCTCTCAGGTGACAGTTACAGTTGTACTCGTCTGTCACAGGGCTGAGAAAGCAAGCTACTGCGACTCAGCTGACACATGGTAATTGTGCAATGGAAGCTTTAAGTAAAACGGCACTAATTTTTTCAACTTCTGTAACAATCTCCTATCGAAATGTTTGCGTCTTGCTTTATCACACTCAGTGACTGACTCTACTTCCCCTTTCCTCCTTCTACAAGGTAAGGTCAGATATCTCTAAAGAAGGTTCTTATTGACCTTCTTCCCCTCCACGTAACACCACTTGTCCATCGTGTGTTTAAGAAAAGAAAGTATCTGATTCATTTAACAAGTTCCCACATACTCTCTCCTTCCCATCCTCATGTTAATTCTCCTTAAATTTTTAGGTGCAGGATTTCTGCTGTTCTAAGTACATATTCCACATCTAACTCCAAGTATTACCAGAATAAAAAAATTTCTCTTGAAAAGAGAATAGTAAATGGCTTATGAACTATATATTGCTGTTAACGCCCTGCATCTTAGGAGGCAAACTCTGTCAGAATTTTCTGTTTATGTGTCTATCAGCAGGCAGTAATTTGAGATTATGCTTTTTAACTAACTTCACTGCCAGATCCTACGGAGCACAGTGATCACATTAATTGTGGAGAGCTATCAAGCAAAGGAAATAAAGTGCTTCCTGGTTTTGTTCTGAGCTAAGCACTACTCATCTCTTAAAAAAACCTTGCACTACTATTTTGTGCTTTTAATCTTTTCAAAGCAATAACCCACCAGTAATCTTTTTTAAAACCTATGACCTGATTTTAAAGCCAGCTACAGTCAGCATAGTCAGATTTAATAACCTAGTTGAGAACAAAAGGACATCAGATTTATAATATGTAAGAGAGCTCAGAATCGTGCATGAAGACAGCAGTACTGACTTGATCTGCAGGAAGATTCCTTCAAAGCCTGTCTTCACTGTACACTTTCTGTAGCTACTCTTGAGGAGGGCAGTAGTACAAAATTTAGTTATGAAGATGAGAAAGAACTATAGCAATCCCTTTGGCCACATATCCTGAAAGCTACACTATCTAAAACATGGCAGCTTCTTGAATAAGAAATTAACTCAAACTGTATCTTATCTGTCCCAACTGTTTACTTAATATTAAAATAAATGCTTTAATGCTTATTGCTTATGTCAAAGGTAAAAAAGTCATAAGAGCTATGACAGTAATTAACTCTCTTTTTTTAAGACTGTGATCAGACAAGTATCTTCTGTGGGATCTTTCGGGACGTTACCAGCTGGCAACCAGTATTTTAGCCTTCACTAGCAAAGCAGCCAGTGCAAGGCATCAGACCAGCAGCATGTTCCAACTAAGCAGGCTAAATTTGCAATTATATGGAGAAGAAACATTCACAGGTCTTTTCCATCAGGAAGGCCAAAGATGCCAACAAGAAAATAGTCTCCAGCAGACTTCAGACAGAATGGTAAGGGGAAGGAACTTAAGAGCCAGCCTGACTGGAATTGAAAAAGAAATTTGTGTGTTTTGGTCCCAGTTCCTGTCAACATGCAAAATGTAAACTTAGTTAGGACAGAGGTTGCACAGAGTCACTGGAGGGTAAGAAGCTTATATGAGAGACCTGACAGCACAGAGATAAAGGAAAGTCTGCTTCTCATTACAGCAACTGTGATGGAGGAATCATTTCTACATAAAAATATGAATTTCAAAGCTTCTCCTCTTACAGATCTGTATCACATTAAGGTCTTTACAGAAAAATAATTTTTTTAAGAAAAAAACCTTAATAAGCTTTTTTAGACAATAGAAAAACTTAAGTCACTTCATATCATAAGAATCAATTATCAGTAGGAATGAAAAGCAGTACCCTTAGCTGCAACATACCACTGAATTTGGAAACCTGGAGGAAGTGGTTCTTTTCCGACATATGCTGCAAGCATTCCTCTGTTGTGGTGAAAAGAAGGAAGCAGACTGGGCATGCGAAACACTGAATATGCTGTGGAGGGAGATCTTTTTTATGTCCATCATTTTCATTTAGCTGGAAGAGAAAAGAATCTAGTCAGGAAGAATATTAAGTCAGGAAATCAGCCCCAGTTCTCCTCATGTCCTTCCATCCCTCTCGCCTGCCTGTGACAATATTTTCCAGCTACTACATCTGTATTTGTCTATAGCCCACCCTTAAGCACTTCAGCTCATAAGACAAGGGACCAGCTAAACTGTCACTGTCAAACTCAGCTACTCATCCTTCCCACATCGGCAACTTCTGCACTTCCTTCTTGCACCGCTGGGAGCAATCACGGGCACCATCAATTCTTAACTAGTCCCTTGAACCAGGGTCTCAATAAAAGCTCCTTCTGTCACTAAAGCAGCTGTTTTTCCTTATGTTGGTTCTTCTCTAATCTTGCTAACCTCCAGCTTCTTAAAATGTTGCTCCTCAGAGTAGCCTGTGACTTTTATCAAAGTCAACTCCTTCCACTCCCTTTGCCTTCTACATTAAGTTCAGATCTCTACCTTCAGGGTAAAATCAATTTAATTTTGCTTCTGATGTTTTTGCTTACTCCTTTCTTATGCCACTCAAAGAATCTTCATGATACACTTATGCTTTCCTTCTATTGCCTTGTTTAGGATTATTTTCATACCAAAATAAACCCATCTTCTTGTCTGCTGCAAGAGCCACTCCCTTGCCTCAAACTTGTCTTTAACTCCTGCTAATGCCCCGAGACACACCACAGGCACACAGCTTGGAAGCAATGGAGAAAGAGCAGGGACAAACTATGATGCAATCTTTCAAGCTTGCCAGGTATGACTGCATCAGGACATACTACTACTAGCTACGAGTAGTCTGATTTTTAGGATATCCAACACCTGAATTTAACACAGGTTCTGAAGACTAGGTGAGTACACAACAATATCTGGTATTAAAACACTAAACTTGGAAAATTATACCCATTATTTAATTCAGTATCAAACTGCTGAAATAAAAGCATGCACCCAGAAGATAACACCTGAGCATCTGTCATTGAACTGAAGTTTTGCAGTGGTAAGTTATCAATAGAAGAGAACATTATTTAAAATAAGGGGGAGAAGGGAAAGGGAAAAGAGCGGAAGTAGGGAGGGGCAATCAAAAAAAGCGACTACTAGCAGCTTATATTCAAATCAAAACTCAGATGCTAGATTATCCTTTTCCTTTCTTTAAGCTGGCTAGGGGATAAAAACAAATAGAGAGACTGGAAACTGAGAAGAAAGTTGCATCTGAATCACCCAAGTCGCTTTTCTCATTCTGTTGCCTTTTTTTCTCCCAGCTCCTTCCCACTGCTTCTCTTTGCGATGACTTATTTCACTCTAACTTCTTCCCTTTATCTTTCATAGTTTTGGGGAAACAAAAGAAGGGAATACCTTTTAACACCATTAAGAGAGGGACAAGACGTTCAAGATAAAACTACAGTCCTCTCAAAAATATGCTGGTAAGTACAACCTAATGGTCAGACCTAAAGAGAGCACTGTCAGGATATACCAGGTGTTTGAAACACAGCAGAATAAGAAAATCTGTTCTGAAGACTAAAAGAAGGGAGGGGAAAGAAATAGGATTAAAAGGAAAAAAAACCCCAAACTAGTGTATGATATCTCTTGAAAACCCTCTACTGCATTCAGTCAGGTAAGTTACTTATCCTTATGATCTTGCCTTAGATAACAGATGATCGCTGTACTGCTGGGAGGTTGAAAATCTGTTCCAGCATATCACACAGGCAACAGTATTGTTTGGGGGTCCATGTAATGTGACTGTTGGGTCACATGGAGAATGATCAAACCTGGAGAGGAAGAAATAATTAACAAACGAGTCCCCTCCAAATAGTAAATTCTTTCTTAATGGAAAAAAAAAAAATCCATCTTTTGAAGCTGCTGGACAAAAACGTACCAAATTAATCCAAACTGTGAAATTGCCAGGTTCCCCTATCATTAACTGTACCTGCTGAAGTATCCTGAACAGAGCATCCTCCTGGCAGGGAGGCTGGATTAGACAATCTCTAAGGTCCCTTCCAACATAAGACATTCTACAGATTCCACAATTCTCCCTATAGCTTACCTGCTACAAAAACTACTTTGCCGAGGAATCACGCTGTTTTTAAGAACAAGGGAACTAACATGGACTCAATTTCCTACAGAAGAATTAAAAAATTTTATTTGCACTGCCCTCAGCTTTTCTCTTTACGATCTTCCCCATGACATATTCCCTAGTTAAAAGGCAGCATACGCTGGACTGGACCCGACACAGTGAGCACTGCCTAGGGATGATCAGCTATGAACAGATGTCTGGCCTACAGCTCTTGCTGCTCTTCCCCTAGATAAAGGGCATTTTTTTAATCTTACCATCAAGTGGTGTATGTTAGTGTTTTGCTCTTTTTCAAGTTTGGATGAAGAAATAACAGAACTAAAGATCAGCAATCTTGTTTCTCAAAAACCCCAGATATTAAAAGATGCTCAACAAAACATCAGTTCTGAGTGAAAAAACCAAGCAAAACTCCCCAAAAACGGCCAACCAGGAAGTTAATCGCATCATCTATATCAAATCTTATAACATACTAATCAACTTTCCAAATGGAATTTTGGCACCATAGGCAGTTTAAAGTAGATTTGACATTGATGTCCTAAGGTTGAGTGTACTCCCTTAGTTATTATTTCTTGCACTGAACCTTTGCACCATGTCCTTACCTTTGAAGGTGGCCTAGGAGAAGATGTCTGTTGTCAAACTCCCTGTTGCAATGCATCACAGGACAAGAGATGGGACTGCTCTTGACTTGTGCCTGACCCATCCTCTTATAAACACCCCTATTTCCACTGTTAATGGTGCCTGGTTTGAGACCTGTTATAAAACAAAGCACTTCACTGGAATCTGAATTGTACAGGCTTAAGAAAACAAGCAAAATAATACACAAGACCTAAAGTACTTAAAAAAGGACTTATATTGATTCTTAAAGGCAAGCTAACAATACACTGTAACTCAAGCCTAGCACAGTCAGTCTGTTCTTTTAGTTGAAGAATTTGTTTCTTCAGTCCCCAGCAGGATTACTTTTTAAACGCTTTATTACCCTTCCTCCAGGTAATATTTCAAATTGATTGAACTTCCTGAAGTTATACTTACTTATGCAGGCATTTTCCTGAACAACAGTTCATCCGCAATATTTTACCTTCTAGCAGCATTGCTTTTAAAAGCAGTTAGCATTGCCTTAGTGGTTTTTAGATTTTGTATATTTAATTTTCTAAGCAGCAAAATACTGGAAGAATAGCTTTTATGAAAATGAGTGTGTAAGAACTTTCAAATGCCACATTCTAGCCAAGTTAATAAATTTGGTTATGCATAAAAGGCACCTGCAAGCTGAATGTCAGTATGGATCAATGCAATTATCACATGTTCTATTTTGTAATGCACAACTTAAAAAAATGTATCACTGAAACTTAATTGTCCTATTATTACCGGGCATCTTTAACCACTGGTCCACGCATAATCTTGCGGCCTCTGTATCACCGCGTTCCCGAATAAATTCTAGTTCTTGCAACCCATGAGCGTACTGGGAATCAAGTTTCTCCTGAAGGAGAAGACATATTTGGTAAAGTGGCAATCAAATTTTAAAAGTAAAAATAATTCAAGATGAAGTATGTATAGCAACACTTACAAGTGGGTCTCTAAAAAACAAAGGGGAAAAAAAAAAAGGGGGACACACAAATAATCCTACAATTTGACTGACTTCTATATAACACTGTAAGCATGGAAATGTAACAGCAATAAATTAAAAAACAGTACTAATTTTAGTACTTTTATTTAAAAGCTAGAGTTTAGGTCAATTAATTTACATTTACTGCACCTACTGAAGTTTTGAAGCATGTACACAATCAAGAAAATTAAGATTGTAAGATTATAAAAAGAAACAAAAAATAACGATTTCTTTTAAAAAAGCAATACAAAAGGGTTATTGAAACCAAAGGGTCCATTTGTTCCTCTGCTAAGGCAAAAAAAAAAAAAAATGCATGGCAGTTTCATTTTGAAGAGTAATTTTAATTCCGCAGAAGGCAGAATTAATTCTGCAGAATGCATTACCTGATGAGGACTGAGGAGCCGCCCAGCAGGAAAATATTTATCATTAACATATTGATTTTTTTAGCCTTTATTCTCAGACTCCTTTAAAAGCTACACAGCTATCTGCGACTCTACAGTTGAAATACTGTAGGCGGGGACACTAACAGAGTGTCAAATTCTAAGTGGAGGGATGTAGGTCTCTGGACTTCAAGGCTACCTTGGGCTGTATCTAACAGCCTTTTACTGTCTTGCATTACAGTTGCACAGTCATAGAATCATAGAACCATAGAATGGCCTAAGCTGGAAGGGACCTTAGAGATCATTTTAATCCAGCCTCCCTGCCGCCAGGGATGCCACCTCTTGACTAGATCAGGCAACACATGGGGACCGAGCGGGAATCAAACCCGTGACCTTAGCATTGTTAGCGCTACGCTCAACTGACTGAGCTAACCGGTCCCCTGCGGTCAACTGCAGACTATAACAAGCTGTAACTATAGTACAATTATGTGACTTTAAAAGCCATTAAGAGTGTTCAGAAAATTAGGCTGTAAAGTCAGCAGGTTCCACAAGTACTGGGTCTGTATTTGTCTCTCTTGAATTTCCTGTGGTCCTTTCAGCCCGTTCCTTTAAGCTCTCCTGGTCCTGCTGACAGCAGCCCTACCCATAAGCCTACTGACTGCACCTCTCAAATTGTAATAAAAGAATCCATGCCTTTCAAATTGTAATAAAAGAATCCATGCCTTTCAAACGGCTGCAAAATACAACTAACAGGATTCAATTTCAAAATTATGCCTAGAAATATTTACCCCAGTATAGAACACTACCTGATACAGAGATTTAATATAGCAAATGGCTTCCCAAAGAATTCTTGAGTGGTAGTTTGTCATAATTGTTGGTTTTCAATTATTTAACCAGAATTAATTGATGCTAAGGTCCCTCTACTATATACACAAAGAAGAGAAAAAGTTTTTGTTATTGGTTCAGTTAGGTTTCTTTTTCCCCCTTAGGAATGGCAGTAAGATGAGCAAATTGATCAGTTAAAAGCCAGTAAAGAGGCAATGCCTCAGAAGCAAAAAATGTCTAGTTGCTAGTTCCAGGTCTGGCTCATCAATCTTTTATTTCTTTAGTGATCAAAAGAAACAAGGCCTGTATTATGCAATTCTACTGAAACCAAATACATCCAATACCTTAAAGGCTTTGTTTTTCTCTTCTTTTTGTCGTTTCTCTACTTCAACATGGCGTGCCAGGCGATCCAAGGTTGATGCAACTCGTTCTTTCTGATAGTCAATGTGATCTTTACGCTTAGTATTTCTCTACAATTGAAAAGTTAAACTTATATTTAGTAATTTCTAAGTAACAGGCATTAATAAGGTGAAAAGTGATGTCCAAACATCAGGACATAACTCAGTAGAGAGAGTCTGATGTTAAGTTCCATGATCTACCTTGCTAGTTGTTGTTGTAGTGTTAGGGCTGTGCCAGCCCCCCAGGCCCTCAGCTTTATGCCAATTATGATGTATATGGAACGGAACATTCTTGTTGGTCACCTGTCCTGTCTGCTTCTTCCTGGAGGTACAACCTTTTACTTCCTTGTCACTCCTTTTACTTCCCAGTATCCCCAGCGTGGCACACAAGAGCCAGCAGTGACCTTGGTCACCACAGGAGCAAGTATCAGCAAGAGCCTTTCTGCATCCCAGTCCCAGGCAGTAACTGCAAACATCAGGTGTGATCACTGCCAGTAGCACACACTGTCTGCAAAAACACACTGCTAACTTCAGAAAGTGCTGCCTGTTAGAAGAGACTGAGCTGAAAATAAAATCACTAAACAGAACTAGTTCTGTTTAGCTCAAATCAGGACACTCATTTTCTCTTCCTATTTACCAGCATCTGCCACTTCTGTGAAAAAACAAACAAAGCAACAGCCATCCCACCACATATGCAAGGCAATTCAGCATCAATATGCCTCACCAAAGCACTAAAAGCAACGTGGATGATTGTGTGTGGTGTCCTAAAACTCTCCGACAAATTCAAAATTAAGAAAATTCTTCTAAGTACGCAAACCAAATTCCTGCAGATTGCAAAGCCAACATGCAGCCCATCTGAAAAACTGAGAACTGGTATCATTCTTCCTCTAAGACAACATTTCCAGATATCTTCAGAAAGGCAGATCATTAGCTTTTCTTAGTGTGAGGGACAGGCCATACACTGTAGTTTGCTCCTGCTACACAATCAGCCCCAGTAGCCTTCAATGCAGAGTGAGTGTGTGGATATAGAGGAAAACACACCTTTCCTTAAGAATCAGGTTTATTACACACATCTTTTACTGCAATACTGGAAAACAGAAGTCCAGAAATGGCCACTGTTGCAAAAACAACTTAATATATTCATTCTCAGTCACTGTCCCTTTCAAAGACCCTGCAGGGTATGCACAATAAGCTTGGGGAATACAGAATCACAGAATTACAGAATATCAGGGGTTGGAAGGGACCTTAAAAGATCATCTAGTCCAGTCCCCCTGTCAGATCAGGATCACCTACAGTAGGTTACACAGGAACGCATCCAGGCAGGTTTTGAACGTCTCCAAAGAAGGAGACTCCACAACCTCCCCGGGGCAGCCTGTGCCAGTGCTCTGTCACCCTCACACGGAAAAAGTTTATTCTAATATTTTTGTTGAATCTCCTATGTTCCAGCTTATATCCATTGCTTCCTGTCCTGTCATTGGACGCTGCTGAAAAGAGCCTGGCTCCGTCCTCCTGACAGTCCCCCTTGACATGTTTATAAACATTTGTGAGGTCACCTCTCAGCCTCCTCTTCTCCAAGCTAAAGAGACCCAGCTCCTTCAGCCTTTCCTCATAAGGGAGATGTTCCACTCCCTTCCTCATCTTTGTGGCTCTGTGCTGGACTCTCTCAAGCAGTTCCTTGTCTCTCTGGAGCTGAGGGGCCCAGAACTGGACAAAATATTCCAGACGTGGCCTCACCAGGGCAGAGTAGAGGGGTAGGAGGACCTCTCTCAACCTACTAGCTACTCCCCTTCTAACACACCCCAGGATGCCATTGGCCTTCTTGGCCATGAGGGCACATTGCTGCCTCATGGTCATCCTGCTGCCCACCAGAACCCCCAGGTCCCTTTCCCCTACACTGCTCTCCAGCAGGTCAGTCCCCAACCTATACTGGGGTTGTTCTTTCCCAAGTGCAAAACTCTACGCTTGCCTTGTTGAACTTCGTAAGATTTCTCCCCGCCCAACTCTCCAGCCTGTCCAGCTCTCACTGAATGGCTGCACAGCCTTCTGGTGTGTCAGCCACTCCTCCCAGTTTTGTGTCGTCAGCAAACTTGCTGACAGTGCTCTCTAATCCTTCATCCAGGTCACTGATGAATGTATCAAACAGCACTGGCCCCAGCACTGACCCCTGAGGTATTCCACTAGACACAGGACTCCAAGTGGACTCTGCCCCATTGACTACAACTCTCTGGCTTCTTCCCTTCAACCAATTAGTGACCCTCCTCACTACTTGGCCATTCAGACCACACTTCCTCAGTTTACCTATGAGGATGCTGTGGGGGACAGTGTCAAATGCCTTGCTGATATCCACATAGACCACATCCACTGCATGGCCACCATCCATCCACCTGGTTATGTCTTCATAAAAGGCTATCAGCTTGGTCAAACATGAACTCCCCTTGGCAAAGCCATGCTGACTGCTCCTAATAACCTTCTTATCCTTGATATGCCTAGAGACAACACCAAGGATAAGACGTTCCATCACCTTTCCAGGGATGGAGGTGAGGCTGACCGGTCTGTAGTTACCCAGGTCATCCTTCCTGCCCTTCTTATAGACTGGGATGACACTCGCTTTCCTCCAGTCTTTAGACACCTCACCTGTTGTGTCGACCAGTCTGCTTCTGGCTCATACATTCTTAGGATGGATTACGAAGAATGAGGTTGAGTTAAGACCAGATCATCCTCAGAGTAAGGTCCTCCAACCTATAAATCTCCCCTTAAAGTTATTTTAGAAGGAAGAAGTCCAACAGTAGGCCAGATACATTTGCAGGTTAGACACTGGACACACTGACTTCTGAGATCACTTCTAAAGTAGCATTTTTTTCAATACACTTGCTAAACCACACTGAAAGCCAAACAGAAGTTGCATGTCCATTTCAAGAAGGCAAAAAAATGGCTATGGAGAAAAAATTGTTAGCATTACTGCCTTACACTCACCAGTAGGTAAAAAGCAAAAGACTTCAGTGGTGATTTATTTATTCATTACTTGTTAAAAACAGATTTTTTTTTTTGTGAAGAGTAACTGATGGGAAAAAATACAGGAGACTAGTATCCTGTACAATCGCGAACTCCCAAAATACATTACAACATACTCACGTGAACATAAGAACTGCTGCTAGGTTCTTCATCCTCACTGCTGATGAGATCAATGCATTCAAGTACAGGTCTTAAAGGTTCTTCCTGAAGTTAAAGTGTTAAAAATATACACAGAAAAGCATTAGATTGCCTTCCTCAGAGATACAATGTTGCATGCATTACAGCACATGATCAGCACTAGCACTACCTGAAAGGGAATTTCACCAAGGTTTCAAGAGGGTGCAGTGATGAGATTGCTGCATGGCAACTTTTCCACTGAACAGGCTAATCCACAAAAATTGGTAAAACATGCAAGTAAACAGGTATTCACAAATAATTATGATATCAATTTAACACATAGAGATCAACTAGAAAAAAAAAAATGAAGTCAGCAGTCTTGACTTGCTTAATAACTTTCTATTCTTCACCTTGCCTTCTCAGTCAACTTAGGTCTACGTTCCCAAATATTCCACTTTTGCCATTAATTCAATGGTAATAGGATAGCAGGCTGTTACCATGAGAGGAACAGTCTTAGATTTCACTAAGCAATGCTAAATGTTTTTTTGTTTGTTTTTTGTTTGTTTTTAAGACATTCACTAAACTCCAGATCCGAAAGTGTGGTAGGATGACCCTGGCTGGACACCGGGTTCCCATCAAGCCCCTCTATCAATCCCCTCCTCAGCAGGACAAAGTGGGGAAGAAAGTAAGATGGAAAAAATTCTTGGGTCAACAAAAAGGCAGTTAAATAAGCAAAAGTAAGGGCTGCACATGGAAGGAAAGGAAAACAAAAGATTTATTCTCCACTTCCCATTAGCAGGTGATATCAAGCCATCTTCCAGGAAGCAGAGCTTCAGCACATGTAGCAGTTGCTATAGAAGACAAATTTGGCAATAACAGATGTCCCCCTCCTCCTACTTTCTCTTGGCTTTCACTGTTGAGCAGACGTCATATGGTACGGAATATCCCTTTGGTCAATTCGGGTGAGCTGTCCTGGATGTGTTCGCTCCCAAGATCTTGCCCATCCCCAGCCTACTGATGAGGGGGAGTGTTGGAGAGAAGCCTTGGTGCTGTGTGAGCACTGCTCAGCAGCAGCCGAACATCGGTGTGTTATCAACACCTTCACAGCTACTGATACACAGCACAGCACTGTGAAGGCTTCTGGGGGGAAAACCAACTGCATCTAAGCTAAACACAAAAATAAATCAAATTCCTTCAGCATTTCAAACATTAAGAAAGTAGGAAACAGTTTCACATGCATTTAAGCCCTGAGGGCTGCTCCTTCCTGAGTAGATATTCTAAAAGCAGGTTACAAGTGTATTCTCTGTATTGGAATCACAAGGGGGAGGCAATTTTATTTTAAAAAAATCCACATTTCATTCATTCACACTACATGCTCGGAAGCACAAAGACACGTCTGAAGAGCTTGTCCAGCATTCAGTTGCAAAGATGAGCATCCAGTAAGCCAGGTCGGGACTCCTTAGAGGGACAAGGACAAAGGACCCTGGCTATCAGCAAGTAGTCAGGTCATCTCTATTCCTTCTGGCTTGGCAGCCAGTGGGCTCCTTGTGCATATTTCTGCTCCTTTGTCTCTCTCCACTGCCCCTCCTCAGTGAGTCACTAAAGGTTACTGATTATTTTTTTCCTCTTCCTTGGGATGTCTTAAGGCTCTAGCACTGGGGTTTTTTTGTCTTCTGCAATCACCTTAATGGTTTAAGCCTTGGTTTTAATTTGTGTGAATTCTTTTCCAATCTGAGCATCTTCAGAAACTTCACTTAGATGGTCTGTGATCTCAATGACTTGCTAGTCTACAGAGTATCAACACCAGATGATTTACATGCCTTTATATGCTTCATGTTTTCATTCTGCTTAGTGCTTCCACAGTGAGGGGGTGTGTGCATATTTGTATTCCCATTCACTCTCCATTCATACCAGTTTTAACATTACTACTAGAAGCTTCTGGTGGATAGCAGAATGCTGGCACAAACACGAAAGAACAGAGAAGAAAAATTAAAATCAACAACCCAAACTAATGACATCGGTTGTAAGTTTTCTAAAGATGTACAAAATAATGCCTGGAGCTCCATCCACATGCACCACAGAATAATCTTCATTTTTTAAAGACAACAAAAAGAAGCACCATGTCCACATAACATGATATCGTGCAAAAAAACCCCAAAACAACCCAAACAAACTCATATCATGCTACATTATCACATGCCAACTAAATAATCAATATAATGAACATGAAATCAGACAAGTAAGTCTACATACACCAAGTATTCCTAGTAACCCTAACTCATATCCATGGTCATGTGTGTACACATCTTCAGTGAGTGGCAAAGTTAACCAAAACCTTCACATGCCACAAAAAGTTTCCCATTCCAATTCTCAAAGTTATTATCAAATCCCAAATAAACTAAAATCAAAGACAGTTTTAATTTTTTGGCAGTGAGGGGAATCGTGGTTGCTTTTTTTAAAAAGCCCACACGTGCAATGCCACCTACATCACCTGATGGAGTTGTTTTGACTGAACTGCAGTATTAGCCATTTGTCTGGCAATATCGGTGGCAGATATCACAGAGCTGTTACATACTCCAAAAGTATTCTTCATTTGTTAGAGAGTTAAGTTCTCCAAGCAGAAGAAGGATACATGCTAGTCAGCAGACTGACTTCTTGAAGAGGCGCAATACTTATCTACCACCTCTGCTACACACTTGGCAGTGTATTCAAGATCTTAACAGGCAAACAACTAGAGCAAGCTAGGAAGATTTATTGCCTCCTGAGAAATAGCAGCATCAATTCTCTCTCCTGTCCTGCATATCATTCTTTACATTCTTCCAGCTTTCAAGGCTGTAAAACTGTTCACAGCTGGCCAGGCATGAACAGTCCTCATTGTCTCACTGGGGAGGAAGAGAGCTATCTTGGACAAATGATAAAAGCTTCTATGAATCAAGCCACAGGCCTCAAATTGCCCCAAAAGGATCCTCAAGTCCTGAAAACCCAGCGCACCAGGGGTACCGTATAATTAGAATTGCAGAAGCCACTCGGTATCTGAACTTGTGCTCATTTTGATAGAAAACAAATAGTTGCAGACCATGTGATCTCTGTGTGTTTGGGTTGTTTGTTTTCTTGAAAGTTAGATGATTTTATTTGTTTTTTGATCTGGGGTTTTGTTTGTTTGTTCTGGGGCTGGAGATCACTTGTCTTACAGTGTCTGAATTCTTACTCTAGGATTATGACTAAAAGGTTTGATCTGAGGGAGCAAAAGCAATCTCTGCTGCTGCCAAGAGTTTTAGCTTTTATAGTCAGATTCACTCTCATTCAGGAAACTTACAACTGTTCCTCCATAACTTCCCACCTTTTAATTCTGCATTACAACCTTTTTTGTCCATTCAAAATCACTCAATTCTAGTTTTTGCATATCAGCACAAAAATGTAATTTAATCTATGATGCAAGCTATTATTCCTAACGGCTTAATATCTTAGGTTGGGATGGTCTAGTCCCCATTCTGTGAGGAAGGATAAAGCAAGAACGAAGAGATTCACACGTTTAATGAGGTCTAGAGCACTCAAGTAGGCTGACTATTCAAGTTACCACAGTCTGCACTGAAAGCATTAGACTCTTCCCGAATTGTTTTGTGGTTGATTTTTTTTTCTAATAGTATTGGTCTACTCATTTTTCTTCCTGATTTTAGTATGCCATTTTTACTTCAGTTACTGCTCTTGGTGCTCTAGCAGGCCTTTCATCACTACACATTCAAAGCTACACTTGCTTCTTCTTCTTTGCCCGGTGTTTCAAGAAAGTGAAGCTTGTACAACCATGCTACCCATGAAGGCCTGCGTGTGTATATAATGAACTCTTTGGGTAATTTTATCTATATCATGTAAAAGACCAAGAAGTCTGAGATAACCAACTACTCACAATTTTTGCAAAAAAATACATGTCCCTTATACCTCAGCTTCTAAATATCCCTGCAGAAAGTCTGTATATTGAATTTAAGCTTTAACCAAACACTATACATAATATATAGAAAAAAAAATAAACTAGTTATTGTTCAGCATTGGAAGCAAGACAAATCCACAGGAAACCAGTCATTATTAGTCCTGGCATCAATTAACCACTTGATCTTATTCACATGACTTGTTCCTTAAGGAAAATCAACCTTCTGTTCTTGCATGTACCCCTGCCATCCAGCACCACTTCACTGATGACAGATTGAGGCCAGAACACAGATAGCATGAAAAACATTCTGCTTTTCTTGGATATTTAGCAGATGTAAGTGCCTTAAACTTACACTCACAAGCCACCTATCAGCATCAGACTACGTGCTTCACAACTTGAGAACTGCTTAAGGCCTCTAACCTACTAATTCCTTCCTCTTCTTCTAAACAAAGTACAGCAGTTTTGACATTGCTGTCCAGAGCAAGCAGTATTTTATTCCATTAACTTCAGGGGGACTACTCGTGAAACAAAACGCTATGCAACATGATTACCCGAAAAGTCATCAACAGCGATTTCTCATATACCTCACTGATCACTGTAATCCCCCCACTCACCTGATGGGATACTGTTCCAGTTTCGGCTGGGACGGAGTTAATTCTTTTCCCAGTAGCTGGTAAAGCACTGTTTTGGATTTGGTATGAGGATAATGTTGATAACACATTGATGTTTTAGTTGTTGCTAAGTAGCACTTATCCTAAGTTAAAGATTTTTCAGTTTCCCATGATTTGCCAGCAAGCAAGTGCACAAGAAGCTGGGAGGGAACACAGCCCAAACAATTCTATGGCCAAGATCTGATCCAAACCAGTCAAAGGGATATTCCATACTATAGAACTTCATTCTCAGTACGAAACTGGGGAAAGCTGGCCCAGGAGGGCACTGCTTGTGCATCAATCAACAGGAGGTGAGCAACTGCACTGTGCATCACTTTTCTTTGGTTTTATTTGTCTCTCTTTTTGTTATCTTCTTTTCCGTTCTTATTATTAATATTAAATTATATTTTTATTGCTGTTAATATATATTAATCACTAAAACATTCTTATCTCAACCCACAAGTTTTACTTATTTCCGACTCTCCTCTCCATCCCACTGGGAGGGGAGGGGAGTGGAGTGAGCAAGCAGCTGTGTGGTGTTTAGTTGCTGACGAGAGTTAAACCACAACCTCTCTACAGGACCAGCTGACATGATCTCATACCTTCCCAAGATGGAGCACATAAATCTTTAAGATAAACTCATTATCCACCACAAAGATTCACAAATTAAATTACCTTTAAACCCAAAAGTAATGCTTTACATCAAAACATAATCATCACCACAGTACACAAAAGCCCTTTCCTATTTCATTGGGCTACTGAGAGTAAATTTATTATCACAAGCAGTGCGTTTCCACTACAAGATCTACTCACTCCAAGGAACTCAATATCATCTTCGCTTTCAGAAGCTGTCGATTTACTCTTCTGAGTGTCGTTACAGTTATCAGACTCCATTATCTAAACAGAAACAAACAGAACATCCTTCACCACTTCTGTTTTAACTTTACGGTACTTTCTGCTTTATTCCGACTTCGGCTGTGCACTCAGCAAGCCTCTCTCCATCATTCATCGACAGTTATCACAGAATCATAGAATCATCAGGGTTGGAAGGGACCTTAAAGATCATCTAGTTCCAACCTCCCTACCATGGGCAGGGACATCCCCCACTAGATCAGGCTGCTCAGAGCCCCATCCACCCTGGCCTTAAAAACTTCCAGGGATGGGGCTTCCACCCCCTCTCTGGGCAACCTGTGCCAGTGTCTCACCACCCTCATGGGAAGAACTTCCTAACGTCCAATCCGAACCCATCCATCTCTAGCACTAAGAACCAACGATAACAATTTTGACTCGAATCGCACCACTGACGTTTTTCCAAACACGCCACACGCGGCCTGACCTACACGCCGCATCCCAACACCCGTTTCTCCAGCGCACAGCCAGAGCTCCCCGGCAAAACCCCACCCAGGGAGAGAGGCCGCGA